GCACAAGCAGCCAGAATTGCTAAAACACAATGAATCAAATCGTTTAACTGCGAATACTTATTTAAATGCATTAAATACAAAAATAAAATCTAACCCTAAAAATAAACTTTTAAAATGTTTTTATACTAACGCAACTTCTCTTAATCCGACTAAAATGAACGAGTTATCTGCACTCTGTGGTATAAACATGCCTGATTTAATCTTTATTTCTGAGACATGGTTTACTGAAACATCTGCCACTCAATTAAATAACTATTCACTAGTGAAAAAAAAGAGAATAGGTCACGGTGGAGGGGTTGCTATCTACATTAAGCGTGATCTAGTTGCGCATGAGGTATCGGATTGTCATCTGAGGGAGACTTTAAACAACAGCTACTCCGAGCAAATATGGTGCGAAATTAAAATCGTTAACGAAATGATTCTTATTGGCTGTGTCTATAGACCACCTTTATCCCATGTAGATGATATAAATAAAACAATTTTTTCAGCTAAGCAAGCTGTTGATAGAAAAGCGTATAGTTGTATGTTATTAGCAGGTGATTTCAACTTTCCGGATATTAAATGGCATAATGACGAAAGAATTGAATTACTAAGCGGTCAAAATAGTGCTGCAAGTGTTTTTCTTGTAACTTTGGCTAATCATAATCTAGAACAATTAGTTGATTTCTCAACCTTCGAAGCATCTAATGGAAATGCAAAAAATGTTTTGGATTTAATTATTACAGACTCTTCAACTAGAGTAATCAATTTATCTAGCTCTATGCCGTTAGGTGATTTGTCACAAGGTCATCGCATATTGAGTTGGGATTATGTCGTCCTTTCTAAAAATAGGACAACTTTCTCAAACAAAAAATATGATTTTTATAAGGGTGACTATAAAAACTTCGGTAAAAAGATTATGGAAACTAAATGGCAGCAATTATTTGAAAATAAAAACACTAACGAATGCTATGAACTTTTCTGCAATAAATATGATAAACTCAGCAAGCAATTCATCCCGTTAAAAAAAGTCCATTCTACTCGTAATGCACCGTGGATGAATAAGGAAGTATTAGCTATGATAAAGAAAAAACAACAACTGGGCAATTACTTATCTATGACAAACTGGGGATCAACGACCCTCATTTGTAAATATAAGAAACTAAGAAGCCAAATTCAGAAAGCATGTACACATCGTGTTCGAGTACTTGAAGCCCAACTGGCATCAGATAAAAATAATCCAAAAAGAATGTATGCTTATGCTAAAGCGCAACAGAACGTACATATATCTATTGGCGCTATCAGATGCAAAAGGTGAAACGTTAACAGAGGTAATACATATCGCAAACAGACTTAACGAACACTTTAAATCAGTTTTTGTTGATGATAGCATAAATGATCAGTTACCGGTTTTTGAGAGAAGACATAATCAAGAAGGCTTAGACGATGTAATAATAAGTTTTGAAGCAACGCTAGCCTATTTGAATGGTTTGAACCCGAACAAATCTATTGGTGTTGATAACATTATTTGGTTCAAGATTTAACAAATTATATTTTTTAATTAAGGAGTGAAATCAGTATTCATCGCCTTTTTATTGACATTGGGGCATTTTTCAAAATGCCCTAATGTAAATGAAAATGAATTTTCAAATAAGGCTGACGTGGGGCAGTTTTCAAAATGCAGCACTATATAAATCGTCTTTCAAATAATATTAATATTTTTATATACATTTTTTTTTGTTTTTTTTTTTAACTTATTTATTTAACCATAAATTAAATAAAATTACAAATTTATTTATAAATTTACAAAATTAGGTTTGGTGTCACTTGTATAGTTAAAAATACTTAAAACTAGTCATTGGAGTGACACTTTAATAAAATAAACAATTAAAGCAAAAAACAAACAAACAACAAAACAAAAATATAGATAGTGACCAAAAAATGGTTATAATAAAAAGAAAAATAGTAGCTATTAAAAAAAGTCAGACTTATAAAATGGAATGGAAAACCTTTATTAATTTTTTGAAAATTTTTTCCACCCACCCCAAGTTTATTTACTCCCCCCCCTGTTTATTAATTTCTTACTTGCTGTCGTAAAAAAAAAAAGGGAAAATCGGCCTTAAAATTATCATTAGAAAATACGCATTTGACCGCAAGCCAAACTAAATTTAAATAGTTTTATGCTTGTTTTGTAATAAATATTATTTGGATCGGATATGCCAGTTTTTCGCACTTATGCCAGTTCGCACTTATGCCAATTCGCACTTATGCCAAAATTTGCAAATTTGTTTGGCACACTTATGCCAATTCGCACTTATGCCATTTTGCACTCTTGCCAGTTTTTGCAACGCTTCGCACTTATGCCATATGCCAATTCGCACTTATGCCAGTTCGCGCCTACGCCATTCCACGAAATTCGCGCTTATTCAGTCGTCCCGTTAAAATAATTGAAAATAAGACTTTAAACTTGATAAAACACAGACCCCGAAAAATAATCTAATCCCAAAAAATAATCTAAAAGTATTACTAATAAAATCTTAACTTTCTTAGTCAGCGTTTTATTGAAAAATGAAAATCTAAAAATTCATGAGTAAAATGGGTGTGTGTTTATTTTGGATGTGTGTTTGATTTATAATACTATTGTGATTTGAAATACTATTATTATATTATAAGTATTATAATATTATAAGTATTGTGGACACCGTTAAAAATTCTTGTTTTGCATTTGTTATCAAAAGGGAGGCTGAATTAAACAAGTATCCTTGTCTTTTAATATTAAAAGGTAATTAACTTTAGATAGTTGTAAAATTTTTAATTGTTTAATATATAATTTGTGATTGAATTATTACCAGCAATATATTAAATAATAAAAATTTAATTACTTATTGCCAATATTATTATATTATTGTTGTTATAAAAGTTAATATTGTTATTAACTAAAGTTATTTTTATTCTGTATAAATTGATAAACTTTAAATAATATATACTGTTAAATAATATATACATATATATTACAAATATGTGTTGTCTATAGGAATAGTCAAATAATAGACTAATTAAATTATTTAAATAACAAATAGTTTTTTGAAAATTATTTAAATAACTCAAATAATTCAAATAATAAATATAAAGTTCAAATAATTATTAAATCAATACCATGCACCAATTTACTTTGTACTAAAACATTTGTTTTAGCACAAAGTTTATTATATTAAAAATTGTCTTATTGCTTTTGCCAAACAAATGAAAACTATTTATTTCTGGTAAAATATGACCTTAAATAACATAATGTATCGGTCATTTCATCGCTTAAGGATGTTCTAAGTTTAGTAATGAATAAGCCAGCCACGTTAAAGCATCTTTCAGCTTCCATAGATGAAGGTGGCAAAGAAGAAAGGGCTGAATTTAACTTTTCCAAACTTTTTGGTCGATCATTAGAGGCTTTAAACAATGCAAGTTCTTTTTTTATAAATAATAACACATTTTTAGTTAGTGAAGCCACAACAGTGTCAGATAAATATTCATAAAGTTCATTAAATTTTCTTTTCTTTGGTAACAATTCCTTAGACTCTAGAGCAGCACTCTTGTTATTTGAGTCAATGGATGGGCTATTTTTATTTTATATTATATCTTTCAAAAAAAGTCTTTTGTATAGATATTTTGCTATCTTTGGAAGATCCTTCTTTTTTGGATAAAAAAGGATTGAGTTTTCAGTAATTTTATCATAAAAATTTGATTTGTCTAAATATCTAATAAGTCCATTAATACCAGAGTTTCTTCTTTCATAGATTCTTTCTAACACAGCAGTATAAAGATCTTTACCAACAAGACTTTTCTTGTCATTTAGTTTTGAAAGAGTAAATTCAAAACCCTTTTCAGTTGTCAATATGTCAACATCTCTTTTACAAAGAGCAGTAACTCCAACTTCAATTATTTCTAAACAATCAGTTAAATCTCTTATGAGATCAACTTCTGATTTAGTGAGTATTAGTTCACTGGCAGACAGATCATTGAGAATTGAATCTAAAACATTTTTTATCTTTAGATATCTTGAAGGCATTCTTATCAAAGAATTCCATCTAGTCTTTGTGTCAAGAATCATTGATTGTTGTTTTCCAAGCTCTTTCAAACAATGTTGTTGGAGAAAAGTTGTTGCCCAATTTTCCCTGCCTTTCCCCACTTAGTTCATCATCAGAATCTTCATCACTTTCATCAACTTCACATGTTCATTGTCAGTGTCAAATTCTTTGAAATGTTTTTTTTTGTAAAGTACATCTACAACAGTAAGATGAATACCATGGGAGTGACATTGTTGATAAACAATATTTAAAAGTTTTCCTAATTTTTTTTATCAAACTTTTTCATCAGTCACTAAACTAAGAATATCTTATTTAAAATTTAAATTAAAATCTTTAAGCTTTTTTATAATCATTTCAAATGCTTTTTCTGCTGTCATAGAACCATTAATCCTTAAGATGCTAAAAGATTGAACCTGCCCTTTAAAAAAATGCAAGTTTAAACTCATATACTGATGATTTTTCTTTGATGTCCATTCATCTAAAGATAATGAAAAATGAGTATCTGCTTTTTTCAACTTTTCAAAGTCATCAGCTAAATTAAACTTTTTTGCAATATTCCAAAAGCATACTTTTTATTCCATGTCTATTACTTGGAATTTTTAAGTTTTGTGCTGCCCAACCATTTTTAATATTAATACTTTAATTACAAGAAGTAATTAAAATCTGACTACTCATATATATATATATATATATATATATATATATATATATATATATATATATATATATATATATATATATATATATATATATATATATATATATATATGCACAGGGTTATGTATACATATATATATATATATATATATATATATATATATATATATATATATATATATATATATATATATATATATATATATATATATATATATATATATATATATATATATATATATATATATATATATATATATATATATATATATTTCTTTTTTGTAGAAAAATCAAAATGGCACAAAATAATACATATGCAAAGAAACATGAAAACATTCTTTATAGCCAAGAGTTTAAGTTAAACTTTAGTAAAAGTGTTGGAGTAGATTGGAAAATTCTTGGACTTTGGTTAAATATTCAAGAAAACTGTATTGACACAATTGATCATGATAAACCCAATACCCTTGAAAAAGCATATAAAATGCTAACTACGTGGATGCAAATGAATGATAATCCAACACTTGAGGAGTTGAAAACAGCTTTAAGGAACATGGATAGAATTGATCTAATAAGAAAAATAGATGAATTAACAAGTAATTATGTTTTAGTTAGTAATAATTAATAATAATTATTTTATTTTGTGGAATTGAAATTTTTTACATTAAAAATTATTATTCAAAAATAAAGATTATAATATTTTATTTCCATGCGATGTTCCTTGACATTCGGATTGCAAACTATTCAAATAAAGCTAAATTAAGTTGGTTATAGTGTAACCTCTGGCCTTAATCTTCAAAAAAAAAAGTTTTATAAAAAACTTAACAGTGTTATTCTAGTGTTTTGTAAGTTATAAAATAATGATCAATTTTCCGAAAATATTCTTAGGTAACTTATTTATTAAAACTTATTTATTAAAGTTTATCTGGTTTAAAAATTGGTACAAGTTCAGAAAAAGTTTTTTCTTTCAAGTAACTAAGAAACCATGTACTAGGTCACAAAAAATTGCAAAGAGGCAGTTCTAAGGTAAAAGAATGTTGTAACATTTTATGGCGTAAGAAAGTATGTTTGGCATAAAACTTTATTATAAGTTTGTAAATCGTGTTTCTCTTGACAACTTTTTAACTTGGTTTTTACATTTTTTTGATTTCTAATTTTTTATTATAAGGTTATGAACAATAGAAGATCTTCTTCTGAGTCATTTGCAAGAGCAAGTCCCCTGAAAATTCAGATGTTTGTTGTTGTCATACAAATTGTTCTTTTTTGTAACATAAATTTTTACATTCAAAAAATTAAATGTAAAAAAATGTTAAAACAAAACATTTAATGATTTAAAAAGAAGTTAAAAAGTCTTTTTTTTTTTTTACTTTGTATAAAAACTTACAATTTTGAAATGAGTAAAAAAAACATGGTGTTTTTTTTACTTGTTTTTCAACTCGTTTTTCTGCGCAGCAGCCTTATTTGTTAAGGTTTATGTTTTGGAGTACAGATTATAAGGTTTTTAACAAAATTAATGTAGCCTCTCAACTGTAGTGGCCTTTATAGCCTTGGGGAGCTGAATTAGCATAAAAATACAATTTATATTTATTTGTTATAATTTGGCTTTTTAGATGTTTAAAGAACGTACAAGTTTATGTATGTTTCCATGTATGTATGAAACATTTTGACATCAAATTTTTATTTTCAATCAAACTTTTTTATATTAGCAAAACTTATGATTTACTTTTATTGATCGTTTATAAAAAGAAAGTTTTTAGTTTTATTTTTTAAATTTTATAATGTTAAGTAGATTTTATTTAAAAATATATAACTAATAATATATATAATATATATATATATATAGACCTTCAATAACAACACAGTTGTTGTTGAAGGTCTTGTTTTTATAAAATTAATTGTAATAAATATAATCATAATAAAAGTAAGTTGTTACTTTATTTAAAAGGGTTTCCCATAGTATTATAAAAACATTCAAGATAAAAGATTTAGATAAAGATAAAAATAATAAAAAAAATTCATAATAAAAAAAACTTAAATAATATTAAAATTTTAGTTTTTTGAGTTATTTTTAATTTTTGTGTTTTAGTTTTTTTATTTATTCTATTGTTAGGATTTCTTTTCTTAGTTTAATTTTAGATAGTTTTAAAGTTTTTTATTTGTTAAGTCTAGATTAGTTTTTTCAGCGCATTTTTGAAATGTTAAAATTTTTAAAACATATTAACAGCTATGTAGTTGCCAAAGAAAAAATTGTTTTGTTTTGGCTACTTGACCACACAAAAAACCACTTTTATCATTAAGTTCTCTAAATCTATCATTCAAAGTAAATTTTCTTCTGTTGAGTCTTATCTCTTGCAAAGTAATGTAATCAGAATCACTGTAATCAGAAGCAATCCTCAATTGCTTCTGATCATGGTTTGATCTCTCTAAAACTACTATTTAATTCTTTTCCATCGACAGGTTCTCTCATTTTATTTAATTGTAACTCTTACAACTACCATAAAGCTTACTGAGTTTTTTTCCATGAATTTCTTTGTGATGGCCCTTGGGTAGAAATCTTTCGTTTTCCTGCTGACAAATGTTTTTTTTTTGTAACTTCTTAAATTTAGGCTGGCATGGAAACTTTTATTACCTCTTAACAATTCCAAGTCAAGCCTCACTCTTCTCCATAGGTTTCCTCTTATTGTACTGCTGCAGTTTCTAATGGTAACCATTACTTCCATATCTTCCATACCAAAAAAATTCTTCAGGAGTTGTGACCTGAGAATAGCCAAAGGTATTCTCAGGTCACTTTTAAGCTAATTGTTATCACAACAATCTAGATCTTTCTATATTTATGAACAGTAATGTACTTGATGAGTAACCTAGCCTTCTTCATCTAGGATTAACCTATACTGGTGATCTTTCTTGAAAAGTATATATCAAATCCGCTGCAAAATTAGCATCTGCTAAGGTTGCATCTCTTTATTCTTCTTACCATTTTATTGTTCCAGATTCTCATCCTAAGTATTTCAAAAAATAATAATAAGTGTTTCAAAAAAAATATTTTGTCTATTTTTTTTTCCTTGAACATCAGTTATTTGGAATTCGATGTTAATTGTTATTTTGCTTTATAGTTACCATAGTTACATTAAAAAAAAAAAAATAACCAAGAAATTTTACAAAAGATTATGATGTTTTATGGTTTTATTATTTAAATTTAATAAATTAGGATTTTGTGAATAATTTATTTAATTTCTATAGCATCTAGATGAAAACTCTAATTGCTTTTGATTTTGAAAACTCTGTCAATCAACCACTTACCAATAGTTGTAGCGTTGCATCTCTTTTCTACAATTACTATTATGGTCAAACAAATTACTCCATTTATTTCCACTTAACAACCATAACTCAACCATTTAACACAGTTGTAATTTTTTACTTTTTTTTCTTCAGAAGTAAAGATACTGCTTAAACTGAAACACATTTCTTTATGTTTTAAAACTTTTTTTCTTTTTCATTTAATTTTTTACTTTTTTTTCTTCAGAAGTAAAGATACTGCTTAAACTGAAACACATTTCTTTATGTTTTAAAACTTTTTTTCTTTTTCATTTATCCTTTTCTTGCGCATCAATGCTTTCGAATTCTCTCCTACCTTAATTTTTTCCTTACTATTAGAAAAATCAGTTTTTTAAGTCTTATGTAAACCGTTTTCTTTCTCTTAAAAATTATTTGTTGTTTTATGGCCCCAACTTACATAGTGGTTACTTGCAGATATATTGGATACGAGTTGATAAAAAAAATGTTTTTGAATTTGAAGTGTAAATCAAGGTTTGTGGCACTTCTATATACTAAATGTTTAAATTGATATTTTTCAAGTGGTCTGCTTGTTAAAGAGGTTTTGCTCAAAGACAGTGTTTTTGATTTAAAAAAATATACCATTAAATAAAACTATATTTATGTATTTGATTTAAAAATATTTTAATTAAAAAATAGCATTAAATTAAACTATATTTGTATATTTGAAACAGATTTGATTTGAAAATAGCATTGAATACAACTTTATTTAGGGATTTATCTCTGTTTTTACTAAGAACATTTAGTTATTTATTATTTTCTTAGGTTTCAATTATTACTTAATAAGTTTTATGGTTTTAAACAATATGTTCAAAACTTATTTAAATAATAATAATTATTGTTAACTAAAAAGTTTAAAAAAATCCTTAGGTACTTAGTTCAGTTTTTTCTAATAAAAATCCTCTTTTTTTTATAAATACTATAATATAATGTACTGCTCTAAATAGCTAGTGTCTCTTGTACCATCTACTAAAATTCAATCTTTTTTTTATTCCTAATTCAAGTCTTTTACTGTGACTATTCAAAAGTGTTTAAAAAATAATAATTTTTTTTTACCTTGAAGTTTGGAATTCGATGTTAATTGTTATTTTTTTCTTTATAGTTACAATAGTTTCATTTTTATAAAATAATTACCAAGAAATTTTACAAAAGATTATGTTGTTTCATGATTTTAATAACTAAGTTTAATGTGATAGGACTATCTAGATAAAAACTCACCCAGTTGCTGTTGATTTTGAAAACTCTGTCAATCAAACACTTATCCATAGTTGTAGCGTTGCATCTCTTTTTAATAATGGAACAAATAATGGAAGTTATTTACTTCCATTATTTGTTCCATCAACCATAACATAAGCTTGCATTACTTATGATTCAACAATGTTGGAATTTTTTACTTTTTTTTTCTTCTTTAGAAGTAAAGATGTTACTTAAACTCAAACACATATCTTCATGTTTTGAAAATTATTTTTTTTTATTAATCTAGATTCTTTACTTGCGGATCAATGCATTGGAATTCTCTCCTTTTTTTATTTTTTCCTGACTTTTAGAAAAATCAGTATTTTAAGTCTTCTGTCAACTGTTTTCTTTCTCTTAGAAATTATTTGTTTTTTTTATGGTCTCAACTTATGTAGTCGTTACTTGAAAAAATGTTGGATGCAAATTGATAAAAAACATGATTTTGAACAATATGTTCAAAACCATAACTAATATAAGTAATAATTATTGTTAACTAAAAAATAACATTTAAATAAAACGTTATTTAGGCATTTAGCTCTGTTTTTATTAATGACTTATTATTACTTATAATTTTAGTTATTTATTTATTATTTTCTTAACACCTTTTTCTTAGGTTTCAATTATTACTTAAATAAGGTTTATGGTTTTGAACAATATGTTCCAAACCACAACTTATTTAAGTAATAATAGTAATTTTTAACTAAAAAGTTTACTATCTTTAGGTATTAAGTTCTGTTTTTACTAAGAACTTTAAGTTTCATATTTCTTATTTTCTCAGTACTTTTTTCATAGGTTTCAATTCTATATTGTTTAAAACCACTTATTTTAAACTTAGTAATATTAATTATTTTTAACAAAAAGTTAAAAAGAAATTAACTTTGTAAACCATAAAAGTTTTATAACTTTTCGTAGCATTTTTACATAAAATATTGTTGAGAAAATAATTTTTTTGCATTTGTATTTAATTCAGTTTGTTAATAAAATGTCATTTAATGCTATTTAAATAAAATTTTGTTTGTTAATGTCATTTAATGTTTTTTAAATAAAAATTTTATTGTCAATTAATATTTTGCTATTGCTAGTTAAAAAAAGATTTGTAAACAAAAACTATACATTTTTTTTACATTTGTTATTTTATCCAGTTTTTGTGTTTCTTTGCTCAAAAAAAAATGAAATTAAAAAGTTTATAATAAAATTGAATCATTGAGAAACTTCAAGTTCACCAGAAAGTTCTACCAGAACTTCTTCTAAGAAAGGTAATTAAGTTTGATTTATTTAAAATTACTCAACATTTACTTCTGAAATGTTTTGTGACACAAAACATTTTAAATGTCAAGTACTTAATTACAGTGTTGTAAAAATAATATATATATATATATTTTTTTTTATGTTAAATGTTTTTCTCATGTCTTTTTGAATTAAAGATTTTTTTTTTTTGTACTTTTAACTATAAAAGTTAAAACCCTAAAAATGTAAAATTTTGAATTGAAATTGGATTGAAAGCAAAAAAAAAAGTTTGGTTCTTTATGTGAAACAAATTATGCGCATTTATACAAGTTAGCTTAGTTTGGTTACTTGTTCTATCATTGATACTGATCATTAATTTTGTTTTATGTGTCAGTAGCTCATGTAAATCCATATCATTGTTTTCTTTATAGCAATATTTTTAATAATATTCTTAATACTGTTTGAATAACACAATTTTGTTATATTCATATATCAAATGCTACATTAATTGATTTTTCTTAGAAACTTAACTTAATGATAATAATAAAAAAATTGAATTAGTTATTTCAATTTTTTTAAAACTGAGTTTTTTACTTTAGTATGTTTTTAGTTTATATTGATGATCTATAGTCTTAAGAGGGGGTTGTATCAACAATGTTTAAAAATTTAAATTAAAATTTATGTAGTGAATTTGTTTAAAAATAAATATAAATATTAGAAGAAAATACTGACTTTGCACACAAAGAGCATAACAGTAGATGTTCTTGGTTTTTAAATTATTAGTTTCAGGATTTTTCATGTACAGTTGCACGAAAAGTATAAGAATTATCTACACATTTTATTGGTTTCACAGTTTAAAACATGTGTGGTAGGTCTTTTTGTTAATTTTTTAAAAATTTATTTTAAAAACCTTCACAAAATAACTTAAAAAAGATCTTAGCCAATGAACTAAACATGCAAGGTCATGTTTAGGATTCTTATTGAGTTTTTTAAGCGTTTTTTACATACAATAATTAGTATCATAAGCAAAATGATGTTTTAGAAAGTTTATGCAAGTCTTCCTGGGAAGCGTGTGAAAGCGTGTGGTTGCAAAAAAAAAAACAGTTTTTTTTGTAAAAAACCAAAAACCATGGGTTTTTTTAAAAAACCAAAAAAACCATGGTTTTTTTGGTTTAATTTAGGTTTTTACTAAAAAATTAGTATTTAGTTATCCTTTTAAATTGAAAAAAACATTACGTATTTTATTTGAGTAAACTATATTCTTTATCAATATTATTGTTATATTTCATCAAAATTATTCAATATTTAATGTTTAATCATTGTTTAATGTTCTATATATTAATACAAGCTTTGCTTTTTTTTCCCCCCCATTGGTTTCTTAACTTAGAATGAACAAGACCAAAAGTTGAAAATTTTTTTTCAATTCCAGCACTAGAAGCTGGTGCATTTAATAAACTTTCAATATCCATTATGTTATAACAGATTTGGCTTTTAATTTGAATAATATTGGTAAATTCTTGAACTCTTTATCTGCGAAATTCAAGCCAGCGTCATTTTCTAATTAGATCTAATCAGAAAGATGATTATTTCTTATATTTTTTATTATTTGTGTAACATGCTTGTTTACATTTTCAATGTTCAGATCATTTGCTAAAAGATTCAGCATATGAGCAGCACACCTATAAGTTATGATAATATTTCTTTCAGATGACAATACTTGTCTCATTAATTTCATATTAGCTGCATTGTCAGTCACAAAGCTTTTTAAAAAAATTTAAAAAAATATATCTATATTGAAGATTAGTTATATTTGTGAACATAATCCTGTCTTAGTTTCCTTGAGTAAGTTTAAACTTTTTTAAAAAAACATGAGTTTGGTTTCAACCAATATTTTTTTAATTGGTTTAAACCATGGTTTAAACCAATGGTTTAATGCGTTTGGTTAAAACCATGTAACCCTGGTGTGCAGTCTCATGCTTTGTTTGTTCACATTTAAAGTAAAATTTTTAGACAACTTGATGTTTTTATATAATAAGTTTTTTAAGAATTTGAAAAAAATTTAAAAATAAAAAAAAAAAACCTAAATGTTTTACTGTTTTTGTTTTCTTTTTTTTAGAGTGTTTGTCATTTTCCGCTGCCAAAATTATTACAACTCGAGAAAAAAGCAGATAAGAATATAACAAAAATAAAAACATTCTTTGATATACAATTTATTTGTAGCTTTTGTTAGTCAGCATATTAAGGAAATTATTTGCACTAGAAATATGGACAAATTTAAAGTTTTTTTCAAAAATGTTTTTGCTAACCTTTCTGTTTTTATCGATGAATACAGGAAATCAAGATAACTAAATGCTATTTATTTGTAAAAAAAATTTTTTTAATTTTTTAACAAGTTTGTCATGTAAAAAAAAAAAAAGTCATTAATTCTAATATTCAAATATAAAATATTTGGTTGTTTTCACTACCCCTATTGAAATAATCTGCATTTTTGTTGGATTCTCCAAATTGTGCATTTAAATCCAATAGTTTTTTTCCTGATGAACTATTTTTATTAGCGTTGCTCCAAAAGGTTGTGGAGCAACGCTAATAAAAATTAGCGTTGTAGTTTACTGAACTTTTTTAACAAAATTTTTAGAAGTTTTTTTAAACACATTTTTTTAAACAAACAATCATGTTCATTATCTCTAGTATTTTGTATTAGTTTTAAATAATTTAGCAATATAAAGAAAACAATTTCAGACAGGCATCAAATGTGGTAAATACATTTATAAAAAAAAAATGCAATTCTTTTATTTAATTTTTTTAATTACAAAATTTATTATTCAAATAATAAAATTAAAAATAAATAGTAAACAAATAAATTTATTTTCTTATTTTCATAATACATAAGTATTGAGAAAAAATGTCAAATATAGCAAAGTCATTTTTAAAAGCCAAAAGATATATAAACGCAAAAAAGAAAAATTAACAAAATTTCTCATAGTTGCAGCGTACATAGCAAATTAATTTCTTAATTATATGGGCTGATAAAAATCATGAATAAGTTGCATATCAAAATTTTCAATTGTTATTAAATTGTTATAAAATGTTTCTTTCCTCAACTTGTATAAGTTTCTTTTGCTAAAAATAACAACCACCCTAAAAAAATACAAAAGTTGTATAAAAATTTAGAGAAAAATGGCTCTTAAGACATATGGCTGTTAAGACATGTACTGATACTAGTAAAAACAATTGTTTCCTGTTTCGAGGACATACATTTTTGCCTTGTGACCGTGTATTTGGAACTTTGGAAAAAAAGTTGAAAAAAATTGAAAGAATATATTCTCCAGAAGAGTACTATAATGTTTACAGTACGCAGGGAACAGTGAAAATTGCAGGAAAAGACTGGAATGTGTTGAATTTCAAATCAGTAACTTTAAGAGTTTTGAAAAAGCCATTGCCAATCAAAATTCAGGAAAATAAACGCTTTTTTATGACAAGAAGATTGCCTAAAAATATTAAAGTCCAAGGAGAACCAAATTTCAAAGTTTTTCTTAACAGTCCTCAAATTATAACAAAAAGAGGCCATGATTGTTTATCTTGTCCATCTCAGATCCAGAAAGGAGTCACAGTTGCAGAGACTAAAAAAAAGGAAATCAAAAGTTTTGATTCTTGTGCATGCAGGAATGAATTTGGATCAAGATAATCATTATTATTTTTCAAAACGTATTGTTAATAAGTCCCAGTTGCAGAGGTTAAAAGAAAAATATCAAAAGTTTGATTCTTGTGCATGCAGGAGTGAATTGGGAGCAAGATAATCGTTTTAATTTTTTAAAACGTATTGTTAATGATTCTTTATAATAGAAAAACGCGTAGAAGACGAGGAAGATACTACATGCAGCTGTATTGATGAAGATGCTGTATACAGACATATTTAACTTTTTGATGTATTTATCCTTTTAAATTTTGTTCTGTTAAAGATCAATTTCTTAATAAAAAACTAGGTTTTTATTATAGTCTTTTCTTCATTCCCTTTGTTTTAAATTTCCTTTTCCAATACCTTTTTTATAATATAATTATAAAGAAGTTTATAATTTGTGCAAATTAATTCCTTCAAAACATTTCAAATAGTTTTAATAAGCAAACAATCCATCTGAATTCAACCAAATATTTTCAAAATAATCTAAGTACATCTGAAATATTCAAATTAAATTAAATTTTTCAACAACGTTTATTTCAAGATCCTAAAGATCTGCATTTTTTTTCACGTTTCTCTACTTTTTTTTTTAATTAATTTTTTTTTATTTAGTTGTCTCTATAATGAATAAAATTACAATAGCGTAAATTTAACACAATTTTTTTGTAGCACTAATTAAGCTTGGGCACGTTTTCCTTCAATTTCTCAAAATCAATTTACTCGGACTTATAGCGTTTTGCAAATGGTTTCCTCAATTGTTAAAAAAAAGCTATGTTTAAATATTTAGTTCTGTTTTTTCTAAGAACTTTTAGTTTCAAACATCTTATTTTCTCACTACTTTTTTCATAGATTTCATATCTATATTGTTTAAAACCACTTATTTAAGTAATATTTATTATTTTTAGCAAAAAGTTTAAAAGAAATTAACTTTGTTGAACCATAAAAGTTTTACAACTTTTGTAGCATTTCCACATAAAATATTGTTAAGAAAATAATGTTTTTGAATTTAATTCAGTTTGTTAATAAAATGTCATTTAATGCTATTTAAGCAAAATTTTGTTTGTTAATGTCATTTAATGTTATTTAAATAAAGTTTTTATTGTCAACTAATATTTTGCTATTGCTAATATTAAAAGATTTGCTAACAAGAACTATACATTGTTTTTTACATTTGTTATTTTATCCAGTTTTTGTGTTTCTTTGCTCAAAAAAAAATTAAATTAAAAAGTTTATAATAAAATTGAATCATTTAGAAACTTCGAGTTCACCAGAAAGTTCTACCAGAACCTCTTCTAAGAAAGGTAATTATGTTTGATTTATTTAAAGTTACTTAACATTTACTTCTGAAATGTTTTGTGACACAAAACATTTTAAAAGTCAAGTACTTTGTTACAGAGTTGTAAAAATAATTTTTTTTTTTTTTTATGTTAATTGTTTTTCTCATATTTTTTTGATTTAAATATTTTTTTTTTTGTATTTTTAACTATAAAAGTTAAAACCCTAAAAATGTAACAATTTTTATGATATATATATATATATATATTTTTATGTTATTCTTTTTCAGTTAAATATTAACTTTTTTTATTATGCTTTACATGCTTAGTTTTGCTGCTTGTTTTATTTTTGTTACAAATTAATAATTGTCTTTACGTCTTTAAATTAAGAAAATGCTTTAAAAGCTATATAAAAATAGTTTCTTTTTTGATTTACGTTCATTACAATTTTTTGAAAAAACAATCTTTGAGATTTCTTTTTCTGAAAAGAAAATGTTCTCAATAAAATATTTAACTGTCAAAATAATCAAGTCTCCAAGTTATGTTGATGCTGATAAAATTCATGGTATTAAATTATGGTTGGAAGTTTGTTCAGAAGACATGTTTTTGGTTGAATTAAATAATGACACAGTAAATCATCACAATATATTGATGAAGTTCTAGATGACAGAAAATAACTTATTTAGAGATGATTGGATGTTTTAGTAAGGTGGTTACCAAACCTCATACTTACAAACTTTCTCCGAAATTGTGTAACAATCATTTTTTAGATTTATTGAAAAAAGTCATTACCCAACAAATTCTCCCGACCCAAATATAAATATCCCAACTAATACTGTTTGAATAACACAATATTTCTATATTCATATATCAAGTGTTACATTAATTGATTTTTCTTAGAAACTTAACTTAATGATCATAAAAAAAAAAATTGAATTAGTTATTTCAATTTTTTTTAAACTGAGTTTTTTACTTTAGTATGTTTTTAGTTTATATTGATGAACTACAGTTATAAGAGGGGGTTGTATCAACAATGTTTAAAAATTTAAATTTAAAAAATTTATGTAGTGAATTTGTTTAAAAATAAATATAAATATTAGAAGAAAATACTGACTTTGCACACAAAGAGCATAACAGTAGATGTTCTTGGTTTTTAAATTACTAGAGATAGTTTCAGGATTTTTAGCATGTACAGTTGCATGAAAAGTATAAGAATTATCTACAAATTTTATCGATTTCACAGTTTAAAACATGTGTGTTTAGGTCTTTTTGTTAAGTTTTTTAAAATTTTATTCTAAAAACCTTCACAAAATAACTTAAAATAGATCTTAGCCAATGAACTAAACATGCAAAGTCATGTTTAGGATTCTTATTGAGTTTTTTAAGCGTTTTTTACATACATGTTTTAAAAAGTTTTAAACATATGCAAGCCTTCCTGGGAATCGTGTGCAGTCTTATAGTTTGTTTGTCCACATTTAAAGTAATTTTTTTAGACAACTTGATGTTTTTATGTTAAAAAAAACACCAAAATGTTTTACTTTTTTGTTTTCTTTTTTAGGGTGTTTGTTATTTTCCGCTACCAAAATTAATACAACTCGAGGAAAAAGCAAATAAAAATATAACAAAAATAAAAACATTCTTTGATATTTTTTTTTTTTTTTTTATTTTACTTCACCTCCTCAAGGCCGAGAAGGCCACTACAGACGAGGAGGCTACTTATTTAGTGGCTATAACCCTCTCTCAACTCTATAACTCCGAAACACGAACCTTGACGAACAAGGCTGCTGCGCAGAGAAACGAGTTGAGCGCGGTACTACCAGAGACGTGGTGGGGATCGAACTCGGAACCACTCGTTTATGAAGCGAGCGCTCTACCACTACACCATTACCGCATTGATATACAATTTATTTGTGGCTTTTGTTAGTCAGCATATTATGGAAATTATTTGCGCTAGAAATATGGACAAATTTAAAGTTTTTTTCAAAAATGTTTTTGCTAACCTTTCTGTTTTTATCGATGAAAGCAGGAATGCAAGAAAACTAAATGCTATTTATTTGTAAAAAATATTTTTTTAATTTTTTAACAAGTTTTTCATGTAAAAAAAAACTCGTTAATTCTAATATTCAAATATAAAATATTTGGTGGTTTTTACTACCCCCATTGAAATAGTCTGCACTTTTGTTGGATTCTCCAAATTTTGCATTTAAACCAATAGTTTTTTTCCTGATGAACTATTGTTATTAGCGTTGCTCCAAAAGGTTGTGGACTAGTAGTTTGTAATTTACTGAACTTTTTTAACAAAATTTTATTTTTTAAAAACTCATTTATGTTTTTAAACACATTTTTTTAAACAAACAATCATGTTCATTATCTCTAGTATTTTGTATTAGTTTTAAATAATTTAGCAATATAAAGAAAACAATTTCAGACAGGCATCAAATGTGGTAAATACATTTATAAAAAAAACCATGCAATTCTTTTATTTAATTTTTTTAATTACAAAATTTATTATTCAAGTTATATAATTAAAAATAAATAGTAAACAAATAAATTTATTTTCTTCTTTTTGTAATACATAAGTATTGAGAAAAAATTGTCAAATATAGCAAAGACATTTTTAAAAGCCGAAAAATATAAAAACTAATAAACGCAAAAAAGAAAATTTAACAAAATTTCTCATAGTTTCAGCGTTCATAGCAAATTAATTTCTAAATTATATGGGCTGATAAAAATCATGAATAATTTGCATATCAAAATTTTCAATTGTTATTAAATTGTTATAAAATGTTTCTTTCCTCAACTTGTATCAATTTCTGTTGCTAAAAAGAACAACCAACCTAAAAAAAAGAATACAGAAGTTGTATAAAAATTTATAGAAAAATGTTTTTTAAATTTTTTTATTTCAAATTGCTAAATTTTTCTAGTTTGTTTAATTAAAATTTAATATTTTGTTACGAATTTGTTTCCTTTTTTATGGATGTTTTTTTTACTCAGTAGATAAGTTTAGCTTTTTAACGCGAATTATTAAATACTAAAACATTAAATGCCTAAAATGTTGATGCAAACTGCTGTGGTCAATGTGTCTAAAAAAATTACTTCGAATGTGGGCAAACAAGTTGTGCAACCGTAGGCGCTTCCCTGCAGTTGCACAATTTGTTTGAAGAAGTGGTGTAGTGAAGAAGCAAGTGCTCTATCACTACACCATTACGCATTCAATATATTCATTACTGAAGTCCAAGAAAGCAAAGGCGCTAAAAATTACGGAATGCAAATGCTGGTCTGCAAAACTGGTTAATGCCTAAACGGGCATTGAATTGCAAAACATTACTTTAGCAAATCTTACATAATTTAACATAAAAAAGGCATTATCGCAACCTGTCTAAACCACACAAGTGTGGAAACATTAAAAAAAATCCTCTATTTATTCAAAATTTTATAGTTTTGCACAAAAAAAAAACTATAAATTAAATGCTATATCGTTTCTCAAATCTTCTTTTTCTAATGTAATTTTTTCTGTTGCCATTTTGTTTTAAATGAGTCTCAAATATTGCAATCATTTTTGGTTTGTTTTTCATAAAGGCTAACAGACATCTAAGGTCATCAATATAGAATGTTGATATATTTATATAAGCTAGACTTATAGAATTCTTACTTATTGTATTATTGTATTCAGTTGAGAATTTATTTGCACCATTTTGCTTGAGTTCATTATAAGGAAGATTTAAATATGGCAAAAGTGTTTTGCAAACTTATATAACAGTAATTGCCTGTTTCTGACATAGGATAAATGTAGCTATTAATAATTACATTTAGTATGGATCCATTTATTGCAAGAATTGCAATGTATTACTTTGTAATTACTTAAAACAGATTTATGACAAATGCCACAAGGTAAACTTGACACCCTATATAATATAGGGTCATTCCATATAAGATGAGCCAATTATTTAAAAATTTCCTGAGTGACTATCTCAGATTTTTTTGAAATTTACACCTGTAGATTTTGTGGTAAAAGAATTTCTCAAAAATTTCAACTCATAATCTAAAAGCATTCTAAAATTATGGCAATTTAAAAATTAATGTCTTAGCTTATTTTGCGTTGTTTATTTTCTTTTTCATAAAAAGTCTATTTTTTAAATCCATATAAATAAAAAACCAACTATCTTAAATGCTTAAAAATCAATTTGATTGCAGTAATCTACCTTGACCCTTGAAGAAAAAAAAATAATTATTTTACAAAAGTAATTATTTTTGGCAATTTTGTACTTCAAAGTTATAAAAAAATACTTTGAAGAAAAACTTCAATATTAATAAAGCAAATGAAATCAGAATACACCAGTAAATGTGAAAATTATGTTATTTTGTGAGAATATAGGTGGTAGTCATCATTAATGGTAAGTTTTGTAATATTTGATTCAAAATTATAGAAGTTACACCCTTCTAAAAAAGCCAGTCTTGAATTTTAAAGTTAGATCCATTCAAGAATTGAGAATTAACCAATAAATGTAATACTTGATGTGTCCAATAAATTTAACACTTGAAATTTTTAAGAATGTATCTTCAAAATAAGAAGAAAAGATACAGAAAAAAAATTTTGGGATGTCTTTTAGCTGCTGAGATAACTTAAGCTTTATATCAAAGTAGGATTTTGGAAATCTAATCAGCCATTTTGATTTTGTTAATATAGTCAATAACTTTATAATCGATTTTTAATGTACAAGTTTGTTCATTCATTTTTTTTAAGCAAGATATTAAAAAAAAAATTAAAAATAAAAATATCTGTACATAAAGGTTTATATTTTTACAATATATGAATAAATTTAAAATTTAAAAAAAGCCAAGATATAAATCTCAATTACAATAAAAGAATGTAAAAAATAAAATTATAAATAATAAATTTTGCTTTCAAAATAATAGTCTAAATCTTTTTGTTAAACATTTCAAAATTTAAAGATATTTTTTTAAATACTTGTACAGAAATTTGACTTTTTGATTGACATTGTGCAACCAAACTATTTACTTTTGCT